TACTCCTTTCCTGGCCTGTGCTCTGCTCTGTGAGTGACCACAAGCACTCTTTTCTGTCTTGAAACTGTGAGGAGGATTTCCTCTCCACCTCCACTGCAAGCTCTACCGCACCAACATTCCTCCTCACCCTAAGATTGTCACCTAGACCTGTGACCCAGATCCAAGCACAGGCAAAGCAAGAAAATCCTGCACCAGCAGAGAGATCCCTGCAATCCCTCTCTGATCAGCCTCTCAATTCCCCCTCAGTCTGTGGGCCAGAAGCTCAGGAGGCAGCTGCCACCCTGGGGCGGAGCTCGGGGAATGGGACTGGAACCCTGTGCTTCTCTCTCACCGTAGAAACAGACTTTTCCCACTGACCTTCTAAGTTATCTTTGGTGTTCATGGGTCAAGAGTTCAGGAAGCCACCATGGCTGCCTGCAATTCAGTCCTCTGAGGCCTGCTCCAGGTTTGCTGCTGCCTGCATGCCCACGCTGAACTGCGCTCCTCTCCCAGCCTGGCACAATATACCTTTCCAATCAACCATCCAGGTTGTCTTGGGCTGGAAATTTGTTTCACTTTGTCTTTTTGTGGGTTCTGTTGCTTTAGAATTTGTTTAGAGCCATTTTTTATAGGTATTTGGAAGGGTTTGGGGGAGAGCTCAAGCACATCACTGCTTTTACTCTGCCATCTTTTTTGGCATGACTTTTTTTGGGAAAAGCTGACTCAGAAAAAAAAGCTGCTCCTGATAAAAGTACCGGGAGTGGAACTGCCCCACCCCACTCCACTCCTCAACAAAAAAGGTTCTAATAGTTTTCAGTCACTAACCTAAAAAGGCCCTAAGGATTTATTTGCTCATTCATTAATTCAACAAATATTTGAGTCCCACCAACATACTAAGGATGCTTACCCCATCTGTATAGACGCATAAAATGATAGAGCAAAGGGAACTTAGACCAATTCAACAACCATTTGTTAAATACCTTTTCGATACAAGACCCCTCATTTTACAAAAACAAGTTGCAGAGGTTAAGTGATTTGCCCAAAGTCACATAGGTATTTGGTAGCAGAACAAGAATTAGAATTCAGGTGGTCTTTTTTTCCCACAGTGCTCCCTCACCTGTGCTGCTTGGCATTGTGAGCATTAAATGGGGAAGTGTTGACAAGTAGAAAACTTCTCTACAAAGGTAAGCTCTTGAGTGGTGACTTGCTCGTGAATGTCCCAGGCAACGTGCTGCATCAGAGGAGTGTCCGCCATGTGTTTTTCCATCAGTACACCTGCAGTTAGTGGGGGCAAAAATCAATGTTTTGGATCACAGTGATAGTGTTGTTGCTGTTATGATCCGAACCCACTTTATTTTGGAAGAGATGGGGTGAAGTGTCTACTTATCATCATCCTTAACTGAGGCCCAAAGGGAAGGAGGAGAGATGAGGACAAAGGAACAGATAGTCTGGCAAGAATCAGAGGAGGTTGCCAGAAACTGGAGAGCTCTTGTTGTCCTGACCTTTGTCATTACAGGGATCCCCATGGACGTCAGTCAAACCATCCAGTGCCCTGCTGTCAGGCTCCAAGGGCATCTTGTCCACTAGATTATCTACTGCAGTCATCGCTATCTTGGGTTACAAAGGGCTTACTGTCCACTCGTCAAATCTTCTTGTCTTCTACTTCACCTTACCGGCCATTCTCTCCTTCGTGGCATGCCATCAATCAGATTCTTCACAAGGGGTTATTCTCATTGTAGCAGCCTCATGGACAAACAGTCCAGCAGGATGCTGGCACCAGAGTTTCAGAATCTGTTTACTCATTGGCTAGCTGGACAGGGATTTGCTCATCCCAGCAGTGGCAAACACTGCTCATGCCAGCTGGGGTCTGTGGTCATTTGAACAGCGAGTTTCTTCCCAGAGGCAGCTGGGTTTTTGTAAAAGATGGGAGGCCACCATGTCTACAGACCTGTGTCTGTCACACTTTTCCACCTTGGAAATCCACCTTTGAGTCCTACATCACGATTGCCCAGGAAGTCCATTAAACAACTTGAGCTCTACAGAGACAGTGTCACTGATAGCCTTGTGCCTCCCTAGTGTCTCTCCACCTGGGGGATGGGTAGATAGCCTCACTGCGCATATAATCTTCCTTTCTACCTTGTCTGTTCTCTTTCTTTTACACTCTCCTCCTGCCACCTCCTTTGGGGTTTTGTTTAGCAGCACACACACACACCCCATCAGGATGAGAGTTCTCCAGTCCCTGCCTCCATAGTGGTGGTCACAGCAGTGACCTTCAAAGTACCTTTAAAGGTGGCTTGGAATGGAGCAGGGTCAGGTTAGAGGAAACTTCAGTATTTACCGCCTACTTGGCCCATTTCCTTTACAGTGGAACATGGCCAGCATAGTGAAAACCCAGGAGGCATTGCTTGTCTAGAAAGTTAAAAAAAAAAACAACTAAGGTCTGATTGCTGCAGTTGCTGTGGTATATACGCCATGTTATGGGTGATAGCTGGAGAACTCGTCCACTTGAGAAAAGCATAGTGGCCTTTGGGGAAGGTATTGACACCTTGTAGGCACAGTTACCTTGCTGGCCTAATACATTCAGCCCATGTGGATTGGTACAGGTAGATTTTGGCAAGCTTATGCCACTAGCTTTAAAAAGTGGACTCAGCAAGGACAAGGGCTCCAGGTGGGAATAGACATGTGGCAGGAAAAGGAGGAGGCTTCAGCAGGAGAAGGACGGTCTCTACCTCAGAACTAAACTGGCTCTTGGAATGTGGCCAACACACTTGGGTCTCTATTAATTCTGCACTCCCCCACTGTCTGCCTTGCACTGGAAATGCTTCTCATTTCTAATCCTTTTCCTGATCCTAGATCTATACAGCTAACAGGAATGGAGGGAGGGATGATTACAGATAGAATTCTATGTTTGAGTTTCCATCCAGGATAAAGCTGTTTAATTTAGTAAAATTTAACTGAAGCAAGAAAATGCCTTTAGCAAGCTTTTCATCATTAGCAATGAATCTCCAGAATGTTAACAAACAGAAGTATTTTCGGCTTGAGATGACATACAGAGGAAAGTACATTGACAAAATCACAGAATTTCAGAGCTGGTCGGCACCTCAGCAGCCATCTGGGACGGGCCATACCCCACACATATGGCTCCCCTCATGGATGCTTCTGCCCCCAGATAGCCAACCTCTACCTGAGGACCTCAGAGAGGGGAAGTCCCTCTGCATGGAGGTGTCCCTGTCCACTTCTGGGCAGTTCTCATTGTTAGGAAGCCTGTCTCTCACATCCAGCCTTCATTTCCTTCTTTACTGCTTTTGCCTAACTCTCTGAGGTCTACTCTGGGGGCCAGACCTTCCCTTTTCCACATGATGGCCCTTCAAATATGGGAAGATAGATCTCATCCATTTCCCATCCTGAGGTTTCTCTTCACCAAGATAACCGTGCCCATTTCCCTTGGCTCATCGTTATCTGGCATGAGCTCAAGGCCATTCGCCATCCTATCTTTGTCCTTCCTAAAATGTGTTGCCCAGAACTGAGTGCAATACTCAGGATGTGGTCTGACCAGAACCGTCTATTCCTTCTGTCTAGAAACTGCTCCTGTCTTTCTAGGCAGATCAAAAAGGACACACTGCAAATCCAATTGGTGTCCTTAGGACTCTGGGTAGAGTCTGCTGTTGAGGCAGCTGGGGGCACAGGGCACAGAGCCCCAGGCCTGGAGTCAGGAAGCCCTGAGTTCAAATCCAGCCTCAGACACTGACTAGCTGGGTGACCCTGGGCCAGTCTGTT